AATGACTGATTTTCTAAAGTGCCTGCAACATCTATACCTCCTGAGCTATGTTGAGTGCAGATTTTAATCAGAAGGGACTGATGATGACTATCCAATGCCAATGACTAACAGATCTTTTCAGAGCGACAGTTATTCAGATCTTTTCAGAGCGACCATGTGGGATCCTTCATTTTTAATCCATCTCACGACCCGCTCGACCTTCCAAAATAACATCCGATCACTCGGGTTACCAAACACCGAGTCACGTGGCCACCACAATCGGCCGAAGCCGGTCACGATCACTCGTCACGTGACATTGGGCGCACCTGTCAAACGCGCCTGCTGGCTCGGCCGTATAAATTTGCATGGAGGTGGCGATCGGTGCGACCTTGCAGCGGAAGGTCGACCAAATGTCATCTCTCCATTGCGACACGGGTGTTGTGGACAGTGTGACTGTGGATGCTGTGGAGACATTGGACTTTGGACGGGTGCCGTGGAAAGTGGACGGTGGAGCCCGACTGTGGACTGATCCGCCGTGGATTGTGGATGTCAAGTGGTTGGCGTTCTAAAGTGGCCAGAAAGCTTGGAAGAGGTGCTTCGTATTGAAGCCCTAGATTTTTTGATAGCATGCCAGATAAGCCCCCCGAACGGAGTAGGGAAATCTAGTACAATTAGAGACATATTTTCGGCCGTAGACGTCCGGCAGACGCATTGTCTCGAGAAATTTGCTGTTACCAAATAACCAGCTTGGCAGGCTGCATCTTTCCGAGTTTTCCGCCGCCATAATATGGGCAACATTGCAGCGGAGACCGAATGAGTCTTTCCATTTACGCCACATAGCAGAACCTAATCATGTCTCCAGACCTGTCCAGCTTCCTGCAGACGAGTGAGGAGGGCTTCAGTGATCCCCAGACCAGGTGCTGCCACTGCCACACCAGCCGGCGTCCGGCGGCCGTATCAAGTGTGCGCCCCTGAGACGCCCGAGTGACTCACGTCTGCATCACACCACTGCGACAGATTGCGGTCAAGTGCGGACAAGTGTGTCAACAAGAGTCGACGGCACCCTAAAACTGATTCCGCAGTGATCACTTGATCAAAGGCAGTCTGCGTCTTATGCTCGTACTGCGACTTGGATAGCCCTGAGCCAAATCGACTTCGAATATTTCATAACAGTTCGGTACAGTTGCCCTCCGCTCCAGTTGGCCTCCCTAGCCAGCCTTAGCTCTATTTGCTGTCTATAGTGTCTGCGTCATTGCCGACTAACTGACTTGAATCTGCAACTTACTCGTCACACCAGTGCTCTCCGCGCTCCCTTCTCCTGAATACGGCGAATCGTCCTTCGGCCCTATCACTGCACCCATCCACTCTGAGAGGAAACCTTCTGGTGCGGACCGCCGTCGGCAACTCAGTGACATCGCGAGGTCACCCCGTCATCTCGCCGCGCGTCTCTGGCGCTCTGACCAGGGACAGACGCGGCCCTGACAGGGTCCGACGGGGCAGTGGACGAGGTCAAATCCGGAGGTCACCCGGCCGGCCGGCCTGGCGGCGCACTCGGCTGCAGACGCACCCCGCCAGCGCCGCTCGGCCGCGTCCCGCGCCGCTGAAGGTCGCCGCTGCGGACGGCACTCGGCGGCGGATGCAGTCGCACGCGACCCTGAGCTCCGCCCCTCCCCTCGCCGGGCACGGCCGGTGCTATCGACAGCCACAGACTCGGGCGCGGAGCGGTGACCCGTCCGATCGACCCGCGCACGGATGCCCGGCGTGACGGAGCGTGACATGTCACGAGCGAGGGGCATAAAGCTACGTGACGGATAAATATGAGAGTGCCCGACAACCAGTCGGCGTCACCTTCGCCGAATCATCGCCGTGCGCCGTCACGGCCGTACTCCACCGGGAGCTACCGACAGCCGACAACAATACTTGGCCGCTCTGCGGGAGCCAGGGTCGGGTTGGGCAGCGGGCCCGACGCCGGCCCAGACACCACAGCTGTGGAGGTCACCTCGACCGGGCGTCGGCAACCGTCAGTGGCGTCGCTGGTGACGTCAAGGGCCGATAGCGGGCGTCACGGTATCCTAGGACAGTAAAGTGACGCGTGCCTCTAGTCGTCACCTCAGCGACGCAGTACCTTAGGGGCAGACTGTGACGGCGTGTGACGCGGTCGGTGACGCAGTGCCCCGCTGGGGGCCCCGACGGGTCAGAGTCAGACCGGGGCCGGCCCCCGACGCCTGGGGCCGTGCCGGGGGGCCAGGGGGGCCGGGGGGCTGGAGCAGGCGTCATCCGACCGATGTGACCTCCGCCACGGACAGCCCGGGCGGTCGATCGGTGCGGACGACCTTCGCTGCTCCAAACAGAGCCACGGTGGCGCGGAGCGTCGGGCTCCGGTTTGGAGGACAGGTCTGAACTCCTTCACAGTGCCAAGCTAAACAGTCGACCGCTGACGCAGACATACCAAGCACTGCTATAAGGCCCCGTGCCCTGTATGTATGCATATGGACCTCAGGTTTGGATCAGTTCTTCCCCGCTTGCCGCCACAGCAGTCTGCATGCCGCGGCAAGGGCGGTGGACAACTGCAGGCAGCGGCGACAGCCGCCGCGCCGTCGCAGCTGTCTCCAAGGGCGCCCGCTTCTTAGAGCCACCGCTGCCAACTGGACACGGCCATGTCGACGACAAGGAACGGGAAGTTTGCGCTGACTGCTCGTCCTCCGCAGCTGCGGCAGCCCAAGGTGCGCCCGCTGCCGCCGGCCGGCCAAGGCCCGCCGGCCGGCATCTGCATAAGCTGAGATCACCGCCGGCAACCTTGTCGGAGCTTACTGCCGCGCCGGAGAGATGACCCTCAGCCGTTCGGAAAATACCGCCCGGCTCTGAGAGGACAGATTGCTGCGGGGAGCGGCCATTGTTGAAGCCAGTTCCGCAAGGATACGCCAGACCTTGCGATGAACAACGAATGAGCACTTTTGTATCCGTGTTCATGAAATACTTGCATAACAAAAAGTACTAAGTAGATATCAAGTAGGGAAATAACTTTTACTCAGCTCGCCAGGGAGCACACAGGAGAGCTTTTAAAATATGTGATTCGTTTATTCCCATGTGAACACGTAATAGTTCGTCCAGCCTCCCGGCCCAATGGGAGATCGCCGCGTGCCTGGAATCTCGCCGGGTAACCATCCGACAGCTGATTTCTATTTCAATCACCAGCCGCTTTCGTTCTGCTCTCTCTGCCTTCCGGGCTCTCTCTCCGCCGGTGTCAGCCGCGTCTTCTCCGCTTTTCCCCAGCCCTTCAACCGCCCCGCTGACACACGACGGACTTGTTCAGGTAGGATCTCACATTGGCCCGCTTATCCCGTCCGTTTTGAACCGTCCCCCCTCCCTCCCCAGCGGAGGTCCCCAATCAGCTGATCCCTCACCTGGGCCAGATGGGTACCCCTCCCCGCGAGCGGGTGCCGGCCCTGTAAAAACGACGGCGTCCTCGGGTGCCGGGGCCAGCCTTGGTGCGCGGGCCGGGAGCGGACAGGGACGCCGGCTCGCTCCCTCCCCACGGGGACGCCGGGGCCGACCACCTGCCCGCCGACGGTGGGTGCTTCCCCATGATGGTCGGGTGGGTGACGGGAGAATGAAGCGTGACGGGGGAGCGCGCGCTTCACGGTGGCCCGATCGGTGTTTTGGTGGAAAGTGCTTGTTCATTGGAGAAAATCAAACCGAAGAATGTCGTCAAGGGCATACTAAATTCAAATTATTCCTGTGGAACGCCATTTCACCGACCCAAGAAATCATCGTAGCCGGTTCGGTTTCACGCGATAGTGTATTTACGAACAAGATTGTTTTTGTTACAAGTCACTACTGTATGAAACAATAACCATACCAGAGCTATTCATTTTCGCCCTGCTGGCGCGAAATGACTACCGAGAGGTCTGCCACACTCGGCCCACACCCGTCCCAGAAGGGGAATCGACCAACGGACAGCCGGCGAGAGTCCGTCTCGGCCGGCGAATTGAAGAGACGGTGCGTGCTGGCAGCAGCGGGGTGGTGAAACCGACCAGTCGGCCGGGCCCGGGCGAGACGCGGCGTTTCTCCGCGCGTTTCACTGTCCAAACTGGGCGGCAGCGGCGCGCCTGTGCCATTTCTCGGCACCCCGACCGACCCGCGCTGAGGCGCTCCACCCGCGGGTGCGCCGCGCCGTCAGAGGTGAAACGATGCACGGAGAGAGCGCATCCCCGCCGACGACCATGCTCCCACTCGAGGACGGTTTAGGTGAAGGGACAGGCTCAACGAACACCCAAGGGACCACCGATCGTTGGTCGGCCGGCGGGTGCTCGCTGGGGTTGGGGAGGCGGTCGGGCCAGTGCCCAGTACCGGCCGGCGGTGACCCATATCCGCCGCTCGCGCGGCCCTCCCCCCGGCCGGCGCCACGCACGTTGCGCCGTCACAACTAGGTCGATCGATCCGCGGAGCAGTGCGTGGGGAGGCCGGCCGACTGGTCCGCGCTGCTGCAGCCTGCAGCCGCCTGTGCACGCACAATGGCCGACAGCGCCGACCGGCCGCCGGCGTCGCGAGGTCGCCGAGCCCGGCCGCCGCACAGTGACCTCGCGTCAGTCACCACACACGCACACACACGGGCACCGCGCTGCCGTCTGCAGCAGCGGGAGTCTGTCTGGGCTGGTGGGCGGAGAGCTGCACCGTCTCTGCAGCCAGCACACCATTCTGCAGGGGCGGAAACGGACGGCAGCAAACGCGACCCCGGACGGCGACCGGAGACACGCAGGGCGGCACACGAGGCGCGCAGAGTTACACGAACGGCGGCTGAAATAGCGGCACACGCTCGGCCGACCGTTTTCCTGCCGCACTGTAAATCGCAAATTATTCCGTGTGCGATGGCCGATGGAGATTGGTTTCGGTTTTCCGCAGACCTTTTGCAGATTACTTTCACGTAAATTGGTTTATGCAGGAGCGGCTCGCAAACGCAATACAGTTTACATCAAGGGCACGAGATTGAAGCGAAAATGGAGCTGTGCTGTCCAACTCACCTGTGTGTAACACCAGTTCTCGGCGGTGGGCTGAGAGTTCTCGTTGGAGGTCGGCGGCGGGCTGGAGACGCGGGACACAGCCATCACGGACGAGCCGCGAGGCTGTGGGCACGCCTCGCTCACCATCGCCCGGCTGGAGGCAAAGGTCACCGAGGTCAGAGGTTACAGCACTAAGGACGACCAAAATATACAACACACAGCCCAAATAATGTGAAGATTACACAGTCGTGATCGTTTCAGACAGACAAATGCCATTACCAAATACAAATAAATCAAACGTAAAGCACATGCACTATCGGGGACTGAGATATTCCCTCCCCGTGGTGCCCAGTTATTGCGGCACAGCATACCGTGCAGGCGGCATCTCGGCTGGAATCTGCATTATAGCCTGCGACGTAGGCTGTCCCGCAGGACACTGAGACCGTGCGGCACAGTCTACCTCACAGGCATAAGCAAAGCAAACGCCATCTGCTCCATGGAGTGTGAATAAATTAATTTGAATTGAATTAAAACAACTTTATCAGTAAATGTAAGCATTTTCTCGCACATTTCAAATTCACATGTCAAACATCCTTCCACAAAGGACTGCATTTGAAATGCATGGGCGGAATCTTCGCTTGTCAGGCGCGCTATCCAAAGATCAGATGAAAGCCGTAATGATAATACGTACTATGATATTAGCATATTATGATAAAGCACTCATACTCACTTAAATAATCCGGAAGGCGGTGAATCCAGTTTGACGGCCGATGAGAACACGTATCACAAAGACACCTTTTCCCTAACGCGAACAGTGCACGTCGTACGCAAAAACGTCACACGATACGAGACAACGGCAGCGAACCGACAGCCGGGCTCGGGACGAGACGAACACGAAGAAGGGGAGACTGAGACCGTCGGAGGCTCACTCACACTGCACTCACGCGGCCACCGCAGCGTACCGGGCGGCCCACTCGCTCCGCACCCCACCACCGTTGGCCAGCGTCTGACGCGTCAGCTGGTCGCGTCGCCCCGAGCCCGCCGCGGCGTTCACCGGCGCCCCGGACCAAAGAGATGCCGCCACCAAATCACAGCTCTCGCTGTGCGAACAGAAATTGAATGATACCTATGGGTATACTGTTGTATGATTGATAATCAAAGGATCACAAACACTATGTCCTAATGTAAGCACGAACATTTATGAAAGCCCAATGTGAACGAGGATGCTGCTGATGTCGACAAAAATTAATCGATTCAAGAGTGAAGGGTTTCCGTGCTTCTATCCTCAGGATACTGAAATCCTTCTCCTCCACGCCGCAACCCCCTCCGGGCTGGACAGGCAACTTTATCTCATGCGGGCTGCTCCCTTGGAGCGGCACCGCTGCTCCTGAGGGAGCGCACCCCGTAGCCGGGTGCAGTGAGTGCCTTGGGGCTGGGTGGCCTGTCCTCTGGACGGGCTCAGCCCCGGCGACTCACTAGGATGCTTGCCCAGACCAATGTCTCCCCCTAATTCCTATCATCCTTCCGGCTCTGCAATGGTCTTGTCGACCGAAAGGGCCTAACCCAAAAAAAAAGAGTGAAGGGCACGTGAATTACAATCGTGGGACAGCGAACAAAGGATGAAAGTCGCTTTGGTTTCTCTGCCACTGAGCAGACGACCGACGACGACTCGTGAAAGTAATAGCAGACATCGAGAGCGAAACATCAACATGCAATGCTCTCCCTTAGATCATTGCATTACTTACGTCATTTATAGCGGGGTTACGAAAATAAACGTAGTAAGCGGTATGAACTATGACTACGATAACTTTTGTTTAAATTATGTTTCCCTTATTTTTATTATTATTATAGCAGGCATCCTATCTGTTACGAAAAAAATACTTCACAAAACAAAAATAAACATTGGTTCACCAATGAATCTGACAAATGAAAATGCACATTTTTTACGACAGCAATGCCAAATGCTCTCAAACATTATTTAGGCAATGACAAAGGAATAGAACGTCACCGTCTAACCCGTGACCTACAAATCTCAAATCTGATACCAGTCTCTTCGGTCCGTATCAGCGCACAGGCTCGTTCGTCTTTTTTTTTTTTTTTTTGCAAGGGCTCTACCTCAATGAGGGACGAAACGGCGAAGGGGCCGGGTTGTAGCCCCGCCATGTAAAACACCGATAAGTTCGGAAAGGGTCATAGTTCTACCTATTGTTAGCACGCCACCTTGTCTTTGGATTTGATCCCAGTCAGGTCACCGTTTTGGGCCTCAGAAGCAAATAACGAACGAGAAACTTTTAGTTTATTCTGTAACTTTGATTTAATATTTGTTCAAAATCGGCCACCGTGTCTCATCACAAAAGTTGCACGATGCTACCTATGTAAATGAATTTACCTATACGTACAGTCAAGTTGAACGTTTTGGCTGGCGTGAGGTCATGTCCTGAACCTGAAATGCTATGATGCGTTTTAGTCGATCTGTTTTAGATAGAGACATCCACGATGCAACTTAAGTGCTGTCATTTCTCTAAAGTCTTTATCATTTTGTATTGATTGATTTAGGATTTACTTACTTATTTCTTTATTCATTTATTCCCTTTTTGCCGAAAATATTTTGGTTACTCTTTTCTTTCGTAAATAACGTTTACATGACCTCAAGCGCACGATTTATCAAAAAGACTAAGAAAAGGGGAAGGAGTAAAAAAAAATCTTGCTTTTTCCTCGAGTATGTAAGTACCCTGGTAGGTATCCTATATGACATATCAGCAGTGAGTTCGCGACCTCGTCGCGCCACGCTGACCCACTTACCCCGTAAGAAGCCCGGTGAAAATCAGAAGCAAATAACACTCACTCACGAGACGCGTGCACTTTGCAAACAATTCTTTTACCGTTTTTTATCACAATTATGCTAAGCCCGTACCTTCCCAAACGTGACTGGCTAGCAGACCGCAGAGCACCGAAATCTCAGGTCGCTATCTTGGCCATCGTAATTCGCTCTCACTCCCAATTACACTCAGGTCTCAGCCCTCCCCACACGAAAGCAACAAACTCTGCCTACAGAAAGGGAAGCGACGCTGCTGCCTCAGTGCATCGGGCAGATCTCCTTCTGCTCTCTGCGCTCTGATCTCCTCTCTAGTCTCCTGGCCGGCTGCTGCTCTGAGCAGAGCACTCTCGTCGGTCGCCGCTGTCAGTCCAGGTGTTCCCAGGCAGGTAGGCCTTGGCAGCTGGCACGCCGTACGGCTTATCCCCTCTCGGAGTAACCGCTCCCAGAGCAGAGGTGAATCACGGTCAGATGTTTCCGAGGGTGTGCCGTTTTTGGAGCAAGGCGACTAATCGCGATGTCCTTCGGCGCGGCTAAATGGTGACCACTGACCAGTCTCCCATAATGTTCTTTTTGGAATGTTGTGCATCGTTTAGCAATGCCTGAATGAAGGGATTTCGTAACTGACGGCTGACGCTGACGAACATAAGTACAAAAAAAAAAACAAGCCATGCCATCGCATGGTCGAATCCCCAGAGTAGACGTTTTGTTTACGGTTTACCGTTGGCAATGCATTATTGCATTAACTGTTGGGTGGGGTAACGTCCCTCAGCTGTCAGTATCACAGAGGGGACGGGAACAGGTGTCGCTGCCATTGCCGACAATGGCTAGATGTCGCCTTTATCGAATACCCTCCGCACTCTGCAGTGTACGTACATACTCGCCTGCATCGGAGTAAGGTTATTGGAGACGTTGCACTTCACCTGGCCAATTTTACGGCCTGGTAAATTAAAATTTTGTCTGCGAGCATATACCATTGCCTCCGAATTCTCTGAAATGCACATTATTACCTCACATGGTGTGTCGTTTCGGGAACTAGCGACCCGCGGCCGGGCGCCGCGGAGACGTGCCCGCCATAGGGTTTTGGGGCTATTTTTTCACGTTTCGGTCTGAATCGTGAAAAGTACTGGTCGTAGCAAATATGTTCCCTGGTTTCTGAATTTTCAGCCCACGTGGAATGCGATAGGACAAAAGTCATTTTCGTACAGACAAAACTGTGCCCGCGTTTTTTGGTCAAAGTAAAAATGTTCAGCAGCTTTTAACACGTGGGCCGCCGCAAAACAGGGTACACTGGAGGACTTACGATTCAATATCTCCTAAGCCATCAAAGATAGCAAATATGTTCCCTGGATCTATGTAGATAATACTTTAGAGAACACTTCAGGCCAAAAATTGTTTCGCGACAACTTACACCCAGCCCGCGTTTTTGGCTTAAATGCAATGCAACACGGCAGCCGACCTTGAGGGCTCAGTTAGCGAGTTCATTTTTTAGCGAGCACTTCGAGCATTTCAGCGTTCGATGAAATGACATATTTTTTCAACGCAGTCGTTTCTTCATTTGCATCTAAACGCGACCTATATGATAATGTGACTGTATCGTCACACTGGAAGGTGTAATTCATGGTAATTTATAGGGCTAATTCTCGGCGCACAGCAGCAGACGGACACCGACTGACCCACCATCTAAAGGCAGTTTGGCGAAGCAGTATCGTGAATCACAGCCGCGAGATGTCCCTAGCGTAGAACACCGTCTGTTTGCCCAGTTTAAATACGTGATGTTTGCCCTCTGTCAACCCCTCAATCATGGGGCTGGGGTCGCGGATGAATGGGCGACCGCCCGCCGCGCGGGGAGGGGGCTGCTCCCCTGACCCGGACCGCCACGGCATGGGGACGGTCCCGCCGCACTTGCGTGCCTCACGTCGCCGCCTCACAGTCACACCGGTCTGAATTACGCTGGTTTTGAGGAACCGCCCATTGTGGTGGTGGGTGATCCAACGCAGACCATGCCAGAACCCCACTGAGGGGGTGTCACCCATGTCAGCTGGCTCAGACCCACGATATCGCCATACCGAAAGGGACGTTCCAAAGAGCAATACCTATGCCTTTAGTGGGTATTATTCATGTTTAATTCGAGAATGTATGCATGCATGTAAACACATACCTACATGATGTGTTAAAGTACCTACTCCAACTGTACAACTTTGGCCTCTCAGCTCGAGGAATAAACTTTTTTACTTTAAAGACAGATTTTTAGTGACTTAACACTCGCACTTACATACAGCGGGGTGTATAGCGGGGTCGAACGAACCCCCTCCCGGTTTTTCGCGAATAATTCGCGCAGAAAGCGGCCGATCGCGACGAAACTTTCAATACCCTCGATTTAATCAATTTTACACATACTCTTAAAATTTAATGACCCTGACCCCAATGACCTTTGACCTGTGGTCTGATTCTCGAGACCATGTTCGACCGGAATTGCGCATTGGCGTATGTCGGCTGAGGCTCACATTATCCGCGCAATTTCCAATCTTTTTTGGTGTGGGTTTCAAGGTCCCGTGAATGTCAGGTCAAAGTCTTTGACCTTTGATGACCTTGCTTCACTATTTCAAGTTTTACATGTTTCTAGGGTAGTTTCTGGGGCTGATTTCGAATTCCCATTTGGAGATTTATGAAATAGTTTTGGTGCCCTCGTATGCTACGAAGCTGTCAATAGTGGTCAACACCTGCTATGGATGGCCGGCAGGTCACCTAATGGTTGACCTGACCTGACCTGGCCCGACCTGGCCTAAATACATTAACCCGGCAGTTGCTGGGGTATTTCGCCACCCACCGCTTGCTGGGGGGGGGGGACGTTAAACGCCCCCAGCCGATAACTCGAGAACCAATAGGCGCAGCGAAACGCACGAGGAGGCGGCAAACGAAAGAACGCGACAAGACGCTTCAGATGAGTACTTTAAAGTTGAATTTTGAGGTCACAGGTCAGGTCAAGGTCAGGTCAAACACCTAAAATCGGGCTTTCAGTAGCATGGACTTCAGTACTTCGCAATGGGCGCCTCTCGTCAGTAACTCTGTCAAACGGTGCACAATCCATCATATAAGGCCTACAAGAGTGTCGGCTTCATGTAGGGGTCAGTCAAGCATAGGTCAGGGTCAAGGTCAGTTCAACCGGGTAGGCACATACCTATCCCCGAAAATCAAAACCATGATATTCGCAGCCCGTGACACATGTTTTATGGGTAATTTTGGGCGTAGAACTCGAATGTGACATTCATTTTATCATATCTGTACGTGTTTGGCTCAAAAAGTTCAATTTAAGAAATGCATGTATCATGGTCGTGAAGAAGTCACGAGAAATTGCCAAGATTTAGTTCAAGATTTTGGAAAATGCGGAACGATAATCAATAATCGAAGATAGCCATTTGA